CAAAAAAACCCAACAAACAAACAAACCAAAAAAATCCAGCCCGACTGAAAAAAATAGACCTAGATCTAGATCGCAAAGACTATAATTCCAAATAAGAAAAAAAACTCGATTGAACAAAACACAAACAAACAAGAAAACAAAACAAGAAAAAGGCAACGACCTTATGGAACACAAAACAAAACAAAATCCAAACAACAACAGCAATAACAACAACAGCAACATAACATGAAGTCGAGGTCATCTACCTATCTTTCAAAAAAAATATATCAATTTCGTGACCAGAACCAAGTCTGAAACGAAGCACCGGCAAGACAAGGCAATTAGTGTCAGCCCACACACGATAAACTGCTCAGATTCGGATTCATCGGTCGACCGTTGCCTGTGGTGTAGCGCTTAGGCACTTCGCCGTCCCACGTAGGAGACCCGAGCAGATTTCCGAGTAGGGAGATACATTATATACTTTTATCGAATATCTCTGTCTTTCTGCAGGAATGGGTTGGGGTTGTGGTTGTTGTTTGGGGTTTTTTAGGGGGGGGGAGGGGTTGTTGTCATTATTAGGACATGGGTCGATGTGGGTTCTGTTTTTTACTTTTGTATTAATTTTTTTTTCTCTTGCTTTTATTTTTATTTTGTATGTATGTGTGATTTTCAATAACACTGGATGGTATTCTTTGTTTTTCTTTTTTTTTCGTGTTTTTTCTTCTTGGTTTTGAAGGGGGGAGGGGGGGCATTATACAACGTGTTGGTGGTTTTGGGGTGAGAAGGGCCTTTTGTGTAATTTATTAATTTACTTGTTAAAATTTGTTCTGTTGTTTTAATTATGTTTTATGTATTCATTTTGTTTAGCAAAAACATAAAAACAAACAAACGACAAGAACAAGAACAAGAATAAAAACAACAGCAACAACAAGAACAAGAATAAGAACAACAACAACAACAACAACAACAACAACGACAGCATCAGACAAGTGAGTCTATAGACCTACTTACGCCGTGCATCATGAAGCGTGTGACCTCGTCAGTGTACTTGCCGAGCGGACAGAAGCGAATCATCTGGGAGGAGATCTCAAACATATACTTGTGCTGCATTTCCATCTTCATCACAGTCAACTTGTCAAAGTGCTCAACCTCAATCATAGCCCTAGAGTGGAGGAGAAAAGTTGAGTTTTAATTAAGAAAGGACACAACAA